CTCTACTAGGGGTCTCTTGTGGATGGGTGTTCTAAAGAGTCTCAATTTGATTGGAGGTTGACTGTTGGTGTCTATCCACATCTTCACCATGCAGGTTTGACCTAGTTTCTCGTCTGAGTTATCCAACACATCACAATTGGCTCTTAACAGATGGCCCATCCTGGCCCCAAACTTCTCAGGGGCCACTATCTCTTCGTCTTTTACTCCTTCTACTTGCTCAAGTCCTTTCTTTTCCCCCCTTATCAAACTTTATCTGTTGTATAGATCTTAATGGCAGAGCCTTTCCTACCTCTTCTCCTTTCCTTATCTTTATTGTCTTGTTGACATCATTGGCTAACAATAATAGGCATTACCTCTACTGCCTCACACAAAGCTACTTTATCTTTTTCAGAGCTATACTCTTCTACCAGGGTCAACTGGAAAACCCCTTTTCCAATTTTTCCTTTTGTCACTAGTCTACCTCTGCCTGACACTGCAATTCTAGGGGGTAATTTCAGGTCTGCATCAGCTACCACTGCCACTGACCCATCAGGGGTTCTTCTGGATGTCGTGGAGACTCCATCCACTATTAACATGGTGGGGTTGAATCTTATTTGTGCTTTATAGTGGTATAGCCAACCCTCACCTAAGATCATTTCTCCACAGAGGTCAGGGGTCACATAAAAGTTATGGACACTCCAGGCCCTTCCTATCCTTACTGGGAGCCTCACCATTCCTCTTATTTTCATTGGTTTACCATATGTCTGACTAATCTCTATATCAGGTCTTTTTATCCACCTCCACTTTCTCAGGCTCCTATACCTTTCCTCCTTCATTAAGGAAACTGATGCCCCCATGTCTATCAATGCCCTAATTGTTGACCATCCCACTACTGTCTCACAGGTGAGTTCTCCCTCTTGGGTCAACAGGGAGAACACCTTAGTTGTCCTCCGCCTGGAGCAATTATCCTCTGCCCACCCAGACATGAGCACCAGCAGCAATAGCCTGTCACTATCATTACTACAGGGGGTCCCTGATTGTCTTCTTCTCTTCTGTGGTACATTCATTCTATTCCTATATGGGTAGCCTCTTTTCAGGTGTCCTGGTTCCCCACAGAACTAACACCTTCTTCCAGTGCAGTTCACAGCGAAGTGGCTAACCTGGCCACATGCCCAGCACTTCATTCTTTTCCTTCTTGCATGGGCCATCCTCCCTTTTATTTCAGGAGTGGCCTGCTAGTATTTTTCTGGTTCTGTTTTCCAGAGATGGATTTTTTTTACAGGGGGCTGTGGGGTCTTCTTTTTGATCCCACATCACTTTGTCTTGTGTCCATGACGACCACACCTGATGCATCAGGGTTTGTAAAAATCTGGGGGTAATCCCCATTTTGGTGGACAGTCTACTGCCCTATGGCCTTCATAATGACAGGTACAACATATTAGCCCTAACCAGCCCAGTGTGGGTTTGTAAAAACCATGCCTCAATATCCACACCCTTCTATTTGGAACCTCTTCACATTTGACCTCCTCCTGCTGTTCTTCCTATCCCCACTGAGAGGTGCCCTTCCCTGTGTTGCCTGCCCACCTCTTGACCTTGCACTTGTGCCCTCTTGCCTTTTACCTCTGCCAAATCCTTTGGTTGTATTTGGCTAATGCAATAGCCACCGACAGCTTGACCAGCGCCTCCTTGATCACATCATGTCGTATGTACTCATTCTGGAGTGCCTCTATGTACAGATCAACTAACTGGGCTTGGATAGCTGTATTGTCTCTTACTTCCCCTGGGAAGGCTAAAGTGGGCATTTTCTTGGCTCTAACTCCCAATTTTCCAAGAGTTTTGCCTCTTATTTGTACTAACTTCATGAGGCTTCTCATGGCCTCAATTGCTGTCTCCTCATTGGCGTACTCCTCCACTAATAGCTCTTCCAATTCTTTCCAGGTTAACTGTGGGTCCCTCACTAGGTGATTCCCTATAAACTTTGATACTGGTCCTTCTGCTGCATTAAATGCCAAACAGTTTCCTTGTCAGACAACTCATATCAGCTGCCCCTTATCAACAGATGCTAACCAATCCTTCAACTCTTTGGGGTTCCCCTCCCAGACCAGTACTCTGCAAAGTAGCTAATGCAGACCACTTGTCACCCGATGCTCAGCTAGCTTATTCTCAACCAATGGTCACTCATTTTACCCAACTAGCAAATCGAGTACTAATAAAAAAAAAAAAAAATTGGAAAAAAATCTGTAGCAAATCTGTTAAATCGAGAGTAAAAGAGAAAATTTTTTTTAGTGAGATGCAACAACAAAATTTGAGAAATTTCAGGGGAAACATAAGTGTAACCATAACCTGTAACTTATTTTGTGGTCACTGTGTTTGTCTTGTGATTGCTGTAAATTTAATGAGAGAAAAAAAAAATTGTGGAGTGTTTTTTTTAGAACCATATGATCAAAGTCTGTTGGTTCTCACTCCTTTCTCTTTTATTTCTCTGCTTAGTTGTCTGTTGTTCTTGGGTTGACCACAGCCAACCTGGGTTCAATCCTGTGATCACAAACACCAATTGTAGCCTTCTTCTTGGACACTGTCCAATCCCTGTGGCTGATTGATGAGTTGACTGCTTCGATCCAGGCCTTGCCTTATCCCATGTTGTGTTTGGTTGTGATCATAAGGCTGTCAAAGAAATTGTCAAATTGGGTTGGTCCAGGCAGTGTAAGGTCACAAGTGAGAAAAAAATAATTTGAGTAAAAGAAAATGTCTTTATATCTACGAAGTTTGTATAGGAGTTGGTGAATTCTTGATATTAAAAAATTATTAGTTCTTCATGTAGCAAAATATTGACCCTTCCTGCTTCATAAGTTAAACATGAAACTTTGGTTTGTTTAGCTAAGTCTTAACAAGGCTTCTAGCACAAGGCTTATCTCGTAGGTTTCTTTCAGGCAGGAAGTCATATGAGGTTGTCTCTCATCTGGCATCTGAAACAATTGTTTTTGGACTGCTTCAATTTCTTGCATTTATTGATATTATTCACCCAAAACTGGCATGGGGTCCAACATGGTTAGGGGACTAGGTGTTTCTCCTATCTTCCAACAAGAGCTCTTTTGTTGTCTGGCTCTGGAAAATTAATTACATCTCTAAATTTGGGGAGTTCCCTAGTCCTATGGGCAGCGGTCACAGGTATCGATCTGCCCTGATAACTTCCTTCTCATTTTGGTACCTCAAACCAACACTTCCCAATGAGCATGGACAATTCCTCTGCCTCTCTTGATATTTCACTTACACCTGTTACCTTGTTTACCCATTGACCAATCAGGCTCTTGACCGCTTGGTGTGGCCTAACTTATTAAAAATTAAAATTATCATTTGAAATTTTGCATAAGTGAAGTTTTCTCAGCCTGGTTTCACTTAAAAATAAGAAATTTACCAGGTGGTTCTCTGCTCAGCCATTCCCCTGACCCTGCCAGACTCATTGCACTCCAAATACCCTAGGCTACACAAAGAACTTCTATTCACAGATCAAATCTTATCCATCCTATTTATATTGTGTTTTGGTAACTGATACTTCGGAGCTTAGTCATTAATCAGCTGTTAATTTAAAGATCGTCATATTACTTCTTGTGGTAATATCGCCTTTACTTAAGTAATTTTTCTGTTTTTAGAGAACATTGTTTTATTCATTAACCCTTCTCGTCTTGTTCCGAGCTATATTTTTGAGTTAACCCTATTCTTTCTATTTGCCAGTGCTAAATAGTGTCAAAAATTGTCTAAAATTCTGGTAGAGCGGGGTTCAAAGTTCTTTAGAATCAGAAAATCTGGTGGCAGCTGACATGGACCTTGGAGGCTCCCAATGTGGGTTCTCGGTCTAAGATCACAGAGTTCCCAAAGTCATCTGCTTATATGCACTTCAACTCAAAATTGGCATGGGGCCAAGGGGTTCAGGTGATTCAGCGATTACCCAATTTTCACATTAATCCAAATAAAGGTATTTCTGCTTTTGTAGTCAGTTTTCCAGATTTGGAGAATTATCCACCTTCTTTGGGAGTACTCACAGTGATTGCTCCTCCCTTAACTCCAACTGGCTTCACTCCACACAGTTGATGCTAGACTCTGCCTCTTTCTCCATCCTTCTCAGTATTCTAACTCTGCCCATCTCTCAGGGCTGGTATAACTGTCTTTGTGACAAATCTAATTTTTAAAGTGCATAGACGTAAGGGAGTAATTTATTCTCATCATTAATTTCAATTCTCTGACTCCCTTCCACTTTTCTAGAATTATCTCTGTCTAGTGAGAACACAAACATGTTCTCATTTAACCTTTTGAGTGATAGATAAAATTATTTCCCAATTTGTTTTTGTCAACGAAAATATAATTTGTTTACCTAAATTCTTGACAAAGTGACAAGCTGTTCTCCATTCTTGGGCCGATTGCTGTTCTAGCAAAAACATCCTGCCTGTCATGAGAAGATCATTTTCATAATCTTAACCCTCACAGTGGATTCATTCCCTGTTTTCATTTCTCAATTTGTTTTTGCCAACAAAAATATAATTCCTGTCTGTCTCTCTTCTCACCAATGATGTGTTTTTCTAATTTCCCAAGAAAGAAGTAAAGACATTTTCTAATTTACTTTAACCGCCTGTCAGATTTTCAATAGATAAAAAAAGAGTAAATTCTTGGCGCATCATTCCTATTTGTAGGGGGTAGGGAAACTATCCAGATGGCCCTTTTTTCACTTCCACATTACCAGGGAAAATGTCTTTCATTCTCAATCTTCCAGTTTATTTCATTTTAGGCTTAACCCTTTCTCTGCTTAGAATTAACATTTAACCACCTCACAACCTCAGTGTCACAACAACAGAAGTGTTAAAGATTAACTGACAACAGATTTTTTTATCTTCTCTTTTTTGTTTAACTTTTACTCTTATAATAAATAGCAGTTTTCAAAATTCAAAGGATATGGATTTTATTTTATCACTGTTTCTATATAAAGGTAGGATAATATAACAGCAAATCTACCTTATATAATTTTTCAGCTTCATGCATTGCTTGCTGGGCTAAAAGCCATCAGCACTTGGAATACTGCAGAAGGTATAAAGATTTGTCGGGAAGCATGTGGAGGACATGGATTCTCTATGAGCAGTGGCTTACCCCAACTTGAGAGCCTTACTTGTGCTTCTTGTACATATGAAGGTGATAACACTGTTATGCTACTACAAACAGGCAGGTATGTAATTTAGTATGTGATTTCTTACTGTGTGAATTTTACAAATAGTAAACAAGCTGCTAAGATGTATTTACTATGTCTATAGTATAATATTTACAATATGAACTGAGATTCAGTGGCCATTTATTTTTATTTAAAACTTTTCTGTCACCATGAACTCCATTATATAAGTATGTAGATTATGTTTATATATAAATTTGATACACACAATTGATTTGAAAGTAGTATTTTCTTTTTTGATAGGTTTTTCTATTCTAACATACTTTATTAATTTGGTTTGAAGATGGAAATAAATTTTGTTCCTTTCAGAAAGAAAAATGTTCTGCTGTTAACCTATAGTGATTTACTAAGTATAACTTAGATATAGCCCAAGGCTGAAAGTAGGGAGCACTAACTAATCAGTTGTAATTGATCTAGCAAGACAAACTTGTTAATCATGACACCTCGTCGAAGTGCCCCTGCTGTTTACCTATGTCTAAAAGTACAGGTAGAAATGTGTAAGATAAATTTTATAGGTGGTTGTTAATTGGTGATATATTATGATGTAATGCTCTGTGCGTTGTGTGTGATTGTCATTTTTCCTGTGAATAGGCAATATTTGGAAGCAAAGTATGTTTCCCAAAGGACATTTCAAGAAAATTCTCAACGATTTAATATTTATGTTACCAAAGTTGAGTTCTATTTCAGCTGCAGGTTAAATGTGCACACCAATATGAATAAATCTTGGCCAATTTTACTATTATCTTTTTTTCTAGTAATGAATGTTGATAGATAAAGAGGTGCTGAAAATTCCCAGCGTAATCAAGAAACCCTTCCAAAAAATAAATCTGATGTTTGGCCAGACTTGCGGAAATGGATTATTTTGAGAATTTTTCAGTACTCCCTCACATATATTACTTTTGATTGTTTGTGACTTTGCTGCGTGATTTTAAGTTTTTGTGTATGTTCTAATTTTTTCAAAAGGAAACTTTTCATCATTTCTTTCAGCAAATGTATTTGTAGAATATGTCTTTAAAAATCTTACTAAAATAATTAAAAAAAAATATTTTAAGAGTTTTTGCTAATTTAATAAATATGTAAACATATCGCTTGTAATATCAATTGTAATATGTAGTCTTTCTAATCATCTTATATATAATCATATTTCTTTTACTATCTGATGAGTGAATGCATGATTTTATATGACAATAAATAATATAGTCATATAATCTATAAACAGTATCATAATAGATTGTGTGTTTGTGGGAAATTTAGTGACTCTCCAAAATGAGTCATGACTGATGAACAAAGAAGAGACAATTTTAAAAAAAACATACTTTATATAAGAAATACATTATACAAGAATGAGAATAGAATAACAAAAACGTATTCTTTTAGCAGTTAAGTTATGGCATTGGGGACAATATCCAAATGCATGTGTCTGTTTGAAATTGATTGAAACAGTAATCTGATGCTGTGTGTCTTCTTTTGATAGATGCTTGTCCTTGTATCATTTAGGCTAGATCATGGCCAGCATTGGAGTAGGCTAAAACACATCTGTTCTGTTTGTGGTCATCCTGCTCTCTGCTTTGGCACCTAATTTTGGTTCATACACATTATTATTAGATAAATGGACATATCTTTCTATCAGCAGGTGTTATCTACCAAAGGGAGATAACCTATATTTAGTTTTGTAAGTTTATTTTACAAGAGAATTTCAAATAGACTGCAATTCTTTTAATCAAAGAAATTTAATTGATTGGAACAACTTTTGTAATGTAACTTTTTATTTCCAGATACTTATTGAAATGTGCTCAAGAATTATCCAATGGTACTAAATTACAAGGTACTGTTGCCTATTTAGAGGAAGACTTTAGCATGGGCCACACTCAAGTTGGAGGAAATTTACATTTACCAGCTTTATTAAGACTATACCAGCATAGTTCACAGGTGTAGGTAAAGCCTTGTTCATTTTATACATCATTTAACTTTGCCATATTCAAATCTATGCTCTACTTCTAATAGGATGCTATTAAATAACTTCAGAAGTAAATTGCCAACTTATAAAAATTATTCATATTAAAGCATTGTAAATTTGGAAAATTTGGAAATTGACTTTCAGAAAATACTTCAAAAGTGAAATAAATCCTTGGTAGAAGAGTTGATTTGTGATAAAAGTTGTGAAGTTGATAGTTTGACTGAAATATTCTGATTTTAAATCATAAACATAAAGGGTCATTTACTCTAAAATATGTCAAACTTTCAAAGTGTAAATATGGATTCAAAATGTATTTTTTTTATTTGCATCATGTTTTTATCATTTTCTAAAAAAATAGTTTTAATTTGATTTGCAGAAATCTGATGCAGGTATTTCAGCAATTCTCTAAGAAACTTGCATCTGGCAATAGTTTTGAGGAGGTGTGGAATATGATGTCTGTCAATATTATGAAAAGTGCCATGGTGAGCATTTTATGTCCAATATCTTATATTTTCTCTTCAATGTTGACATATGAGATAACTTTTTCATAAATATTAATATTTTGAGAATTTTCAGCAATTATGTTAACTTTCATACTTGTCATTATAGTTTCAGTTGTTTTTTAAAAACTGCTCTATCTGATTATTTTTCTTGAACACAAAATTTAAACATTATTCAAAACTTTTCAAAGAAAACTTTTTCATACATATAGGATTCTGCTGTTTGTAATTGATATATAAATATGTTGAATGAAATGTTTACTATAGTGGTTTTCAACACATTTTGCCAAGTGTACCCTTTTCACTAGATATCAAAATGTCATTCTCACCCTTTCTAAGATTGCCCAACTCAAAAGGTGCATTCCAAATAATATACATATATTATTGAAAATCTTCATTCTTTTCTATGTTAGTACATATACATTTATATGGATTATTTTTATATAGTTGTACAAATTTAATAGCAATAGAAAATATTGTTGGATTTTTAAATTGAATACTTGTACACTTATTTTTTTTTTATTCATAACTAATAATTAAATAAATATTTAATTTTATTGTAACTCAACCAAAAAGTACAATAAAAAAATCAGGGCATTTAAAATCAATTTTATTCTGATGAAGATTACAGTCAGTGAGAAACTTGTGATTATTTTTTTACTTTCCTGGGAATTCTGGGATACATGGAGGAGTGCTTGAAAGAGCACAATGCAGGTCATTTTCAACTTCGAATCTACTTTGCAAAGATATTTGGAACAAATGGAAGATATTTATGGATAACTATTTCTAACACCTTTGGGTAGCAATTTCAAATTAAAGGCCAAAATTGTGTGATTGATTTTTCATCAAACTTATCTCTTGTTCTCAAATCAGCCTTCATCTCTAAAAATACATCTTGACAATCATCAGGAATCTTTTCAATTGCTGCCTTGTCAGCTGGGGTTTCAGAATACACTGACTGCACCTCTGCAGTGGAGTAAAAAACCCCCAACGAGGCCACCTGTTGGCTGTGGGTGGGTGACCTGTGATGCCCGAGTATGGGATCCTGGTGATTGAGGGCTTCAGGAGGAGGGATGGTTTAACTCCTAAATCCCAACACATCACTTTGGCCTTTAATTGGGCTAGACAGGATGTCAGAAAGGCCCAATACAATCAACCGGTTGATCATGCCAAACCCTGATTCAGATTCTTAAAAACTCTGGAAAAAGCTGAAACAGAAGGTGGTAGGTCAATCTTTCAAAGAAGGGGTGATTGCTTCAAACTAGGCCTGTGGAAAATGTTAACTTGGGAACTGAGACTTAGGAAGTTAAACAATTATTACCTTATCATGGTGTGAGTATACTGATTGTCTAATCCTGATCTGCCAAGATGAATGGGCTTTCTCCTTGGCTTTTCCTCTTGTAGGGCTTCACAGTGGGTGGGGAGCATAGTCAGTGAAACATAATTTAATTATATGGATACAGAAAGAAAAACCCAAGCTAAAAGACTCCACTCCACAGATTCTGATCAAGAACAGGTTGAGGTACCCTTTCCTAGATTCATGATACTAGAATCTAGAGATGAGATACTACTAACTAAATTGCTGGTACAGACTATTATATCCTCAATGGTTAATCCTAAGTCAGTAAAAAAACTTACAAAATGGAACCATCCTGGTAGAAATACCAAATAAAAAACATGTGAGCATACTGTTAAAGATTAAAAAATTCATCACATTAATATGTATCCCCACATGAAAAATTAAAAAACTTCCAGAGGTGTAGTTCATAATGGAGATCTGTTGCTTTGTAACATACAAGAGATAAAAGCTGAGTTAACAAAGCAAAATGTGACTGACATCAAAAGGATAGCAATTAAAAAACAAAACCAGATAATAAATACAAACACATATATATTAAGTTTAAAAACTCCGACACCACTACCTGCAATTAAACTTGGATATTTAATAGCCAAAGTAGATAAATATATTCCAAAACTAAGATGTCACAAATATGTCAAAGATATGGCCATCTAAAGGAGTATTGTACAAGAAAATAAACATGTGCATGATGTGGTGAAATAGAACCAAACCATGATGAAACAATATGTAAAAATTAACCAAAATGTACCAACTGCAATGGAGATCATAGAGCTGATACTAAAGAATGCAAAATCTTGGAAAAAGAAACAATAAGAACAGAAATCACTCAAAGCGTCAGAGGCAAGAAAACTTATATTAACCTCTTTTTCAATACAAAAATATGCAAAGATCACCAAAACACCACCAAATGTAAATGAAAATCTAAGAAATAATTTGTTAAAAAAAACAAAACAAAAACATAATTAACATTATTAATAAATGAATTGCAAAATCTCATTAAAGCCTTAAAAACCAGCATAACAAATATGGAAATATCTTTCATTACCAAATTAAACCATAACTCAATAACTGAAGAAAAGAAAAACAATGAAAAACAAATTAGTAAGAAAAACATAGACCTATCTCAAAGATGAGTGAAAAAGACAAAAACCAACTCAAAATAGCCAAAGACAAAAGAGAAGATTGAAAAATTTTAACAAATGGAAATTGAAATGGATTCTACACTCTCAACACATCATAAACAAGATGGTATAACTTAACAAAACAAAAATCTTACAATGGAAAGGAAATATGGATACATGTCTATATATACAATAAAAGGACATAAAAATCCAGTAAAAGTCATATATATATATATATATACACACACCCTTAATCAACCATGGTAAAAAAAGTTCTTCAATGGAATTTCCATGGGCTAAAAGCAAATTTTAATGAACTTTTACTGCTGCTAACAGACTTATGTCCAGATATTGTTTGTCTTCAAGAAACCTTTTTAAAACAAGATAAATATAAAAAATTATCAGATATTTAGGCTTATATACAGGAGGGTGAAAGGCCAGTGGAGGAACTTCAATTCTCATTAGAAACAGCATCCCCCAGAGCCAAATTAATATAACTACAAACTTTTAGGCAGTTGCTGTTAGAGCCAGCCTACATAAAATCATTAACATATGTTTGGTATATATTCCACTAAAAGACCCCATAAACAAAGATGAGCTCCAGAGACTGATAGACCAAGTACTCAAGCTTTATTTTTTTTAGTTTTATTAGGAGACTTTAATAGCCACAAGACTACATGGGAAAATATAGACACAGACCTTAAGGGAAAAACTATAGAGAAACTTATAAATGAAAATGACCAATGTCTTCTAAATAAAAGAACTCATACATATATAAATCCTTTCTCTGGGGACTATTCAGCCATTGATCTGATTATATGTGACCCAACAGTATATTTCAACTTTTCTTGGGATATAAAAGATGACACATATGGAAGCAACCTCTTCCTGATCCTCCTGGAAAATATTGAACCAAGTAGCAAAAATATATCCTGCTGGAAAATGAACAAAGCAAATTGAGACAAATTCAAAGAAACAAAACAAAAATATAGATTCAGCAGATCGCTTTACAGAGATACTAATCACTGTATTAAAGAAATGTATCCCCAAAAATTCAACACCAAATACCCTGGTTCAATACTAAATGCTTGCAAGCCATGAGATTATGAAAGGCATCTCTACAAAATTTTAACTTACAACAGTAAACTTAAATAATTATAAGTTGTATAGAGCAGTGGCTACATAAAGGAACTTTATGTAGCCAGTGAAATAAGCCAAAAAAGAATGTTGGCAAAAATATGTCAAGCTAAGCTCCTCTTCAAAGCCAAAATCATTATGGGAAAATGGTGAGGAAAATAGCTGGCAAATACTAAACTACACCAATTAAGCATCTTTCCAAAAAAAAAAAACAATATCATAATTAATAAAAAGGACATAGCAGATAGTTGAAACTATTTCAAAAAGTTCAAGTAAAATTGGAAAACAAAAATTCCTAGTCCTAAAACAAAATACAGAAAAATATAATTCAATTTTACATCTAACAATGCATTTTACACTGAGTTTAGCAGAATTTAAATGATGCATAAAAAGATGCTATCACATAACAGTTGAACCGGATGATGTCCACTACAAGATCCTAAAACAATTATCAGAATAATCCTTAGAACTTCTAAAAATATACAATCATATATGGATAGACAGAAATTTCCCAGATATTTGGAAACAAACTACTATAATACTAATCCCAAAACTTGGAGAAGACAACTCTGACCCAGAAAACTACAGACTTATTTCATTGACCATCTGTCTGTGTAAAACCATGGAATAGATGAGAAATGACAGGTTGATTTGGTACTTGGAGAAAAATAAGCTAATTATTGACCTACAATGTAGTTTCAGAAAGAAAAGCATCACATTGGACCACTTAATCCACTTAGAATTGGCTATAAGAGACGCATTTGTTTGAAAAGAGCACTTAATAGCAGTCTTTTTTGACCTGCAGAAAGCTTATGATACTATATGAAAATGTGGTATCATCAGCGATCTGTACTCCCTTGGTCTGAAAAGCAGACTAGCAAAATTCATAAAGGGTTTTTTACTAGCAGAAAATTAACTGTTTGGCTTGGATCAACTTTTTCTAACTTAAAAAAAAAACTGTAATGAAAGAGAAAATCACCTACCTCGAAAAAAAGTGTGTGTTCTGTTTGTAGTCTACTGAAGGAAAAATAAAGAAAATTGTTAGCAAAAACCTGCCACTTTAAGTATCAGAAGAACTATACTAATGTTCTTTCCTACCTGACTGGTGTGGCCAATCAGAAATAAACATGAAGAGGGATTGCCCCCAAGGCATTATTTTATCAGTGACATTGTTCGGTATAAAAATAAATAATATAGTCAAAAGCTTATGCACTTCTGTCAGAAGAGAAAACTACACAATGATCCTACTCCAAGATTTAGAAGAGATTAAAATATCAATTTTTAGATCAGCATAAGTTCTTAGGAATAATATCTGCGAAAAAGCTTACCTTTATCCCCCATCTGAAATATCTCAAAAAGTTATGTAACAAAGCAATACAGCTCCTTTGTGTGGTGGCTCACGCTGAATGAGGAGCAGTCCAAAAACTAAGTTATGATAGCATCATGTACAGTTTGGCAAGAAAATCCTATTTAAAACTTCTTAATACTACCATCTATGGAGGATTAAGACTGGTGCTTGGGGCTTTTAAAACCTCACCAATTGAAAGCAGAAGCTAACGAAACTCCTAATCTTAGTTGTGAAAAACTAGCACTAGCATTATACAAAACTAAAATCCTGTTTATGTAACTATTCCTACAAAAATAAATACCTACCAGATCACAGAAACCTCTATCAGCAGAAAGGAAAAACTATAAAAGTATTTGGACTTTGAAAGGAACCTTTATTGAGAAATCAAAAATACAACTGGCAACAATCCATGATAATATCATTCCTAACATTGCTCCTTGGACCACAAGATCTCCCAAAATAATATTGGACTTATGCAAATTTCAAAAAACAAATATACATCATCTTAACTTTCAGGAAGAATTTGATAAAATTAAAGAAAACTATCCCAGACACACACCCATCTTGAGAGATGGGTTTAAACATGGAATATAACAGGATATGCAACAATATCACAGAAGAAAATGCAACCTCTATTTTCAATGTTGAACTCTGTGCCATAGATCTAGTGCTCAGCATTATTTCAACAAATAAAAACAAAAAAATTCATAATCATTTCTATTTACTATCGGTTTTAACAACACTAAAATACAAAATCTTGACAACCCATTAATAGTCAAATTGCTAAATAAACTCCATTTAATATCCATGTTGATATTGTGATGTATTGGATCCCAAGTCACATTGGAATAATTGGAAACAAAAAAGCTGATGCAGCTGCTAAACACATTGAAAATATAGAAATTGACCTGAACTTTAAGATCCCTTACACAGACCTGAAGAGCCAAATAAACAGGTTTATCAAGCAAAAATGGCAAAAATGTGCACCAACATTTCATCAAATACATTGCTGCAAATCAAGCCACTACTTGGAGAATGGAAGCTAGGATACAGAAAATTCCGAAAAGAAGAGATAGTATTGGCCTGTTTCCACATTAGCCATGCAAGAATTACACACTTGTACTTACTGAAAGGGGAAGAACAACCATTATGTCTAACATGCCAAACTGCATACGCCATAAAACGTTTTGACTCTTGCCTCATCTAGGAAAACATACTCCATATAAACAACATAAAGGAGCTCTTTGAAAGAGCAATGATGGACAGTATAATATCATTTCTCAAAATGTTTATACCAAAAAATATAAACCTAACAGTTAAAAAAAAAAACAAACTGATATTTAAGCCAACCAAAGTATTTGATACCATATGATTGTAAAAAAAAAAAAATACCTAAAACCATATGATTGAAAAAAAAAGTAAATAAATAGTTGATACCATATGAATGAAAATAAAAAATAAAATTTAATGTAATATAAGAATGTCTTGACCTTAAATGACCCATGAACCAAATGCTATTCTAACTGAATTGTGATTATGCAACAACAATTTTACTTTCACAAATAGGAATCTTTCTGACATAATCATTATATTTAAAAAATGTGACTGATCTATTTGCATAAATTAGGAAGATATTGTTATTCTTTTTATTGCAGCAACATCCTCTCGTGAATACTTCTCAATACAATCATCAAATTAGCAATAGGCATCTTTGCTGAAATTCACAGGTAATGTTAACATAGACATGATGTTTGGTGCAAAACAAAGATAACTTAATTGTTTCATATTCTATAATACAAAGACATTTAGTAGTAAATATGGCACTTTAAGAGAAATTCTGCTGCCATTTATATTTATAGATGTTATAAAGATATTTCATACAAATATGAAAGGCTCTTAACAAGGACAAAAATCTGATTTCTTTAGATAGGAAAAGGCATTTAATTCTTTTCCTTATAACCATATTTACTATAAACTTTATAGTCCATGATATAATGTTACATAGCATGGGACAAGAGTCTTCAGTCACTTAAAACTTAAAGAAATAATAATGAAAGAACTATCATATACTGTTGATAATTTCTACCTCTTTCTAACTTTTCAAAAACTACAAAACCTATCAGATATGCACAAAATTTGGATTAGCAATTATGAGAAGACCAAAGTTCTTTTTCAGATTGCTTTTAGATAGGTCATTGAACCAGTTGAGTTTAAAATACATGCTACTTGTGTTCTATTTAGCCAACTATATGATAACATCTTTGGAAAGCACAATTTAAGAATAAACATTAATATTATACAAAGCTACAGTAATTTCTATTTGCTCCGTGGATGTGAAGCATTCATCAGAAACATATCCTTTCTGGGATTTTAGAATAAACTTCCTTCTTCCTTGAAAATCTCTGGCAAAGCAAAATTATAAAATATTCTGCAAATATTGTTTACATGAAGACCAGAATCTTAAAACATACAAATTATTACAGAAATTTACAGGGTAACTGTAGAGAGCCATAGTTTCTTGAAAAAACTTGATTTGGGTCTGTCAGTCACTTCACTTATTTTGAGTGAGAAAAATGTTTCCTTAATTTTTAATTGAAGTTTTTCTATTTTAAAGTTTTAATCTATTGCTAAAATATAAGCATTATTTTAATCTTTTCCTTTTTATATTGTAATCTCTTAAGAATTTATGTGATATATATTATTAGTTATTAATCATTTTTATGTCACATATCTATATGCAATATTTTGATATGTGACACTATTTAGCTATGGTAATTAAGCATAAAAATTAAAAATTTAGCTATTGTAATTAAGCATAAAAATTAAAAATGAGAAATACTTAAGGTGAGAAAGAGCTATGTCGAAAGACAGACTGAGCAACATTTTTTTTTAACAAATAAAAGAATGGGCAAAGATTTTATTTCATTTACGAAGAAAGATACTTTTTCGTAGAAGACAGAAAATCCGTAAGAGAAAGCCAGATTTCAGATTCTGTCAGAATTAATTAATGTCACGATCAGATAGTGACGTGTCAAGGGAAGCAGAATTCGGGGAGGAATGACAAAGCCGACCACACACGGTGACCATAAAAAAAATTTTCGGCTTCAGTCAACTGCATACAGGCAGAAGAAATCAATATTGGTTATCTATCAAAGATACCATTAATATTTTTCATTCTTGGATTCCAATGAAGAAAGCCAGCTGTTATGTATACAGATCTTGATATGATCATTGTTATTGCTTATTCAAACTGTTGACGACAGACTTAATGTCGCCGAAGGTGGGCATCTGGTGATATGAAAATTTTAAGACACGAGAAAAATAAAGAATTTGATTTTCAGGTGGAACACGACCACCCAGTTTAAAAGTTGACTAGCAAGTGATTAATGAGTTGGTGGAGATTCTGCTAAGTGGATTTTGGGTGGCTCAGGATAAGATAAAAATTTAATTATGGCCACGTGGGATTCATAAGAATTCTGGCCGATAGAAGAAAAGAAAAGAGAATTTTTTTTTCTGGACAATTTTAAGAAGGCCAAGTCTAGCCACACTCACGCTGCCGAGTGATCATTGGCCAAGTGATGGCGTGAGTGATAGGCGAAGGTGAATGTATGAGAAAAGCGGGGAAGTTGGTGACACCCACTAAGAGGATTGGTATGAGATACCAATATGAGAAAGGAAGAGTCTAAAAGGATAATTCTCCTCCGACCTCTCCTCACAGATGAGGGAGAAAACCCCTGAAATGGAAAGTGATTAACTTCCAAAAATGGGAAGTAATAAATTTTCCTGTCCTGAGGACAAAGAGAATTTTTGTTGGGAATTAAGAATTGTCAAAGAACCCAAACCACGCCCGGCCTCACACCGGGTTTTGGTCGGTGTCCATATAAGCGAACGTCCATGGGCATTCAGTGACTTGGGTTGGAGATTGGAGACACAGACACAGATCGACAGAGAGCTGTCGGGCTCAGAGAATAGCGCCTTGCAGGAGCTGACCAAGATTTCCACACCTTTTGAATTAGTCTTCCTACCAAAAGCAAGTTTTTATTGACGAACGACTTAAGATACCATAACTCGCTTAAGAAATGCAAAAAGTGTCACGAATCCATAGAAACGGGCCGGGAAAGAAACACACTCCTGTATTCAACAGATAGATAAAGATAATTGTTATTTCTCAACATATTTGAACCTCGCGAGTTTGTTTTATTATTTTTCTTTTACTTACGCTTGTGCGGTATCACCTTTACCCTGGATTCAACTTGCACTACGGCCCGACGCCTGATTGATTTCGTCTACCTAAGATCAAAGTCACAACATGGGTAGGTTAGACTTGAGATCAAAGCAGTTATTTTGGTGACCAAGTGTTGAAGGTGAGCTGAGAACAACAAAGCTGGTATCGAACCGGAAACGACCAGATCGACCGGGGCACAGGCTGATGGGAGCGACAAGGAATCAACTCCAAAATGCTGGTGGAAGAAACCTTACGGCTTCGCGCTGCAACTGGGAGTTGACCACGGCCCGACGGCGCAGTGTCATATATTGACGTTGCGACCAGTGGACATCCCATATTGGTGCTGTGACCACGACCACTGGTGGGTGTCACAGATAGTTAATTTCTAAATGAACTATATGCAGCTAAAGAATATATTATGTGCATGATTGTGATGTATTGTAAATTTTCATTTCAGGCACATTGTTTAATTTATACAGTCAAGACATTCATTACTGGTGTTAATGACATTGAACAGCCTGAATTGAAATTAGTGTTGATGGATTTATGCAAGTTGTATTGTGTTCATGGAATTATTGAAAACCTCAGTAACTTCTTGTTGGTAAGCTGTTATTTTCTATATTTTATATTTACATCAATGTGCACTTTTAAATAATGCTTATTGCCAAGAAATTTGTTTTACAGTACTTTTAGCAAGTTTTTAATAGTAGGTATTTATTGATATGACATTTAGGTATTTACGAGTAGTCATCAACAATATTTTGTAAGCAAAATTACAAATGTCAGCTACATATTTAAGTGAATGAACAAACACATTAACAATAGTGTTTGGTTATTAGCAATCAATTTACAAAAATTTTACAGCATTCAAATTTCAATGAACATTTTCTTTTCTTGCACTTCCTACCTGTAGAACTCCCTTCCATTTACTTGCTACTCTGATAAATAAAACATGAAGATGTGAATAGTAATGTTTCCATAGACAGATTGAGACAAGCAGTTGTCTCAGAAATGGTGAAAATCCCTAATATCAATAAAGCAACACCAGCATAAAGAAAATACCTCACCAGATATTGACTGGAATATGGAGACAAAATAACAAAACACAATGTAAGTCTGGCAAATTGGTTACTTGGAAAATAGACAATACATACCAGTATTATTAATGTACTAAATGACTCTGAGAAGGGAAGTGATGTAGTGAGTGTGAAATGATAACTTCCTCCACATTCAGTGGACTGAACATGAAGAAGGAAATAAATTTGCAAGCCCATGTGAAATTGTTTTTGGACCAATGAAAACTTTGCCTTCACAGAAATTAACCAGTCAGCTGAGAAGAAAAATAAGAAAGTAGCAAGCCTACATGAAATTCTTTTTGATATAAAATGAGTAGAAAAATTAAATTAATCAGAGAAGAGTGTCTGAAGTCATGTGAAAGGTTTTGTTTCACTTCCTTGTGAACAGTGTTGAATTATTCACCAGTGTAAAATTACTCAGCAGTTATATTATCAGCCTCTAATCAGCATGCAAGACTTAAAGAATTTTTTCTCAACAATCCAAGAAAGTTAGGTATTTCAAACTATCTCTATTTGTCTATTTTTGAAAGTATGCAATTCATATATCTCTTCGGTGAGCAATGAACTCTTTTACCTTTTTGTTTTAAACATTTTTGAATATTTGTGTCAGATCATTTTACGTGTTATATGAAAATACTCTTTATGACAATATGTTAAAACTACGGACTTTTGATTTATTTTCCTGAAATGAGCTACTGACACTACTTCAAGTGAGTATATATATATGAATAAATTCCTTATCTTGTTTTGTTAAAATTACCTGTGTGTTTCCTTGTCATTATCATCCTTCATTAATCTTCTTGGCATGTGTAAATCAACTGACCCCTAAGCCACATGCCATACACCCACTATATTATGAAAGAGTGGATCTGCTTGTATTCATTATAAATAGTTGTTGTTGCAGAAGATTGTATTAAAATTAACAAATGTATTTATTGCCACTTTGTCCCTTTGCCATTGTCAAAAGATAAAATGTGTTTGTGGGAAGTTTGATAACATTTACTGTGGATTTACATTTCTGTGATTTCAAGGTTGTTCTTCAGTGGCTGGACATCAGATTTTATACTTATTGTTTATAAAGATTTAAATAGAGAAAGAGCAAAGACCAGTAAAAGCTGATTGGTCATTAAATATATTAAAAGTTTTTTTATGTTGAGCTCTTATTTTTCAAAGAAGCAGTTTATTTAGCTCCTATTGAAATAACAAAACTGTTATTGTAATTTAGTCTCAATCTTTTGTAATATGAATTTTGCTTTAAAAGTTCTAATCTTATGCCAGTAAATGCCTAATTGTCAGTTTCTTGATTTAAATATTAAATCACTGTGTTTTGAAAATTAAGTTTTTTTTTTTTTTTTTTGCTTTTCTTTGTGATATTTAAAGTTTACTAATTATTATTTATGTTCTTCAATTCCTCTCATGGGATATGATCAGAACATTCAGATACAAAATATTGTTTCAATGTAACTAAATTAAAGCATCATTCTATAAATCTTGCAAATTAAACTTAATAAATTTGTGTAAATTACTAATGGGAAGAAGCTTGTCTTCTTTTGGTGGATTTCAAACCTTAAGAAAATACTTATTCTTTTAAGAGTCAGCCATCTTAAATAAAAAAAATTACATATACTTCTTTGCTTTGCATTTCTTTAAATCCATTTTGATATTTTTTTTAATATTGTAAAGTATTCAGTTTGGCTTTTATTTCAGTCAATTAACTAAAAGAAATTATTCAAGAACATTTTGGTAATAGGGATTTTTAATATGAAACACTGAATAAGCATGGAGTAAATTCTCAAGCCAGAGCACTATTTAACATCATGTGTGCAGTTTTAATTTGTATATAACTTTTCTTATTTCTCCAGCCTGGTTTATTAACAGAAATTCAAGTGTCAGAATTAAATGATGCCATGTTCAACCTATTGACTAAAATTCGACCAAATGCTGTCACTTTAGTGGATGCATTTGCTATCACTGATAGAAAACTGAACAGTACATTGGGCCGTTATGATGGTCAAGTGTACTCGGCTCTTTATGACTATGCCATGGGTTCACCACTGAATAAGACAAAAGTGAGTTTAACTTGTATTTATGTTATTTTATGCTTAGGTTACTCTGATCAAGCTGTATTTGCTAATAATTTTTAAAATGTTTATTTTTATGGTTAAAATAGTTGGAATATTTTTTTATTTTTATTAACTGAAAGTTTAAAATAATCCATAGTGATATCATGTATGAAGGTTATGGGGATCAAGATAACACCAAAAATAATGCATATAAAATGATAAGTCAACCTCTGAGGGAGTGTGGTGCATGTTAGCCAATGTAAGAATTTAATTCTGTTTTTTGATTGTTGATATTAGATATGCAATCTCCAAGAGGACATGAGAATTCATAAATATTATTATTACATGGGTGGGGGTGTTGAAGTCTTGTATTATTGCTGATAATGAGATTAGCTGTTTTGAACTTTTTATAGTATATGATAAATCTAAGGTGTTTGTTAGTATCATTAAGAAATATGTACCAGCAAATTGTTTTTAATAGTTTCTGATGTAATGATTATGCATACACCTGGTTCCCCCTCACAGTAATATGATTGGCTGGTGTCAGCCATAAATACAGACTGATGTGGAGGTACAGGATGACGCCTATTGCCTACCACTACGACGAGGACCAGTCAATTATGGTTACCTGCTAGATTGTCCTACTCGGTTACAGTAGTCCAAAACCACTTGGCTGCTTCAAACAAATATATCCCTTTCCGGGACATATCAGTTTCTTTATCCTGTTTATAATTAGGGTGCATCTGGATATGAGAAAATGTGTTTTTTATTTATATGGGAGATATCTTCTGTTAATTTTTTAAAGATTTGTTAAGGCTAATTTTATTTGTTAATAACATAGTTAAGGAAATTATTTTTCATAAGTTTTTTTTTTTTTAATGTTGCTTATGTCCAAAGAAGAGATTGTTTTGTTCTGGTAAATCATGTTTTTAATAACAGCTATTTTGTATCTGTGAGGATATTCACTTTTGTAGTTGAGAAGACACAAGTTTCTGCTTGTGTTTTCTCAACTACAAAAGTGAATGTCCTCATAGATACAAAATAGCTGTTAGTGTGAAAAAGGTAAAATTATGACTATTAGCATCAACTAAAATGTCAAGAAAAGGGATGCTATTATTAGTTGGTCTTGAAGATTTCTTGAAGGTTTTTATTTCTTCTAGAATTTTTGCTTGTATGAGGAGTGATTACTTTATCTATAGTTTCTTTGACTGGGACATTGGGGACTTTCAACATCTAACAAGGCTAGGATACTGTTATTAGGTTTATTATATTATAATATGCCTAGTAATTTGTTAGTGAGGTGTAATAATAATGATTTATAGCACTTGAGGAACTTCCCAGTGAATGAAGGTTATCAGCCCTTAAAGATCTCTCCTGAACTATGATACTGTAGTGAAAGAGATAGTCAGGTACCCCGGAAAAAAGTTTGTGTTTTGTGTGCGATCTGTCGAAGAAACATAACCAAAAAGTAGTCAGCAAAAATCTTATAGTGAAGAAAACGGCGACTTACCTTGTCAAACCAAGCGACAGCACGTCGCGTGTATTCTACGATGGAAAAAGTGATGAAAAAGAAACAAGTCCGTTGCAGGAGTCGCTATAACAGTATTTCGATATGCAAATTATGGAGCATCCTATCCCAGCTGTCGACGAATGCAAAAAAATAGGTTCTGCTGATAAAAGCAGTTGGTGTTCTCGATTCGGAGGCGGAAAATTCGGGCATTTTTGGCTTCGGCGTTTGTTAGAGAGTGAATTATTTTTCTGACTGGTTACACGCATTGTGATTCGAGATAGTACTGGCGAATTGAGTGTTCAGCATTTTTTTCTGCCCCCGATATTCAAGTCTGTACTTACAGTGATTTTTCTTTGTGTTGTGGAAGTAATCTGCAACAAATACTTCCTATGTTTTCAGAACGCTTACACTTACAGATACACTCCCTGGACACCATGAGGAAACAACGGCAAACTTTTTAAGTCACTAACTGTAGCCTGTAAAATTAGTTTATTAAAGCTTCTTAAGTTGTAATAATTGTTGGTTATTTTCATTACATGGAGTTAATATGATACTTACTAAGTATGGCAGTATCAGTTGGTTTTGGTTAAATGATATACAAGGATTAGGATTTGTGAAATTATGGGATATAGTGGGGTGTTAAATTTGTGTGTTTTTTATATTCCCATGTAGGTTGCATACACAAAATTTTGTAGAGTTTGAGGAATCTGACTTCCACATTGTTAAGTTTATAAGTTTATTAATTTGTCTTGAGAAGAGGCTGACAGCATTTTTGTTTAGTTTTTTTTTAAATTTGGCTTTGTTGTTGAAGATGGAGTCAATTTTTTTTTTTATTGTAGTTGGTTTTGTCTTGGATGAAAGAAGTGTTGGATTTCTTGCTTTTCTAAATTATAAACCTTTTATTGTTTTGTTTCCTGTAGTTGAACATTTTGGATTAGACTTGGGTTTGCCTTTTGTAGTTTTATAGCTTTTATAGCTGCAGCTTGGAGTAAAGTTTGTTGTCCTGGGTGTGTTGTGATGATTTTGTTGTTTTGAAATTTTGGGATATTTTTAGACATAATTTTCAATCTCCACTTATATTATTATCAAAAGTGGAGAAGAGGTGGCAGTTTGGTCCTAGGTTGAAGAATTTTGTCTCTTCTTTGGTTGGAGAGATTTGTAAAGTTTTTGAAGGCATTAGGAAAATATACTTTTACTTTATATAATTAATGAAGCTTTTTTTTATCTCTTTGTGATTGTTGCGATAGACATTTAGTTTAGTGTTTCTTTGTAGTTGTCAGCAGTAGTGGAAGATTTCAAGATATCTTCAATATTTTTTTATTTTAACATATAGAAGCTAGATGTTGTCACTGACTACCTATTTTTTTTTCATTAAGAGAATGTTAAACTATTTTGGCGTTAGTATTCTTGTTTACTGCAGGGTGATGTAATTTAAATAAGATATATTTAAGCAGCAAGTATTCATTGATTAAATTCAACTAACAAGGTCTGTTTCATTAAGATGTTGTATATTGGGGTCAAAATTGGGAATAAACTGTTCATGCTGTTGTTTTTGTTCAAGTATTTTCAACTGTCTTTGTTATTATCAAGAACTATGTGCTGTCTGTCTGTGTGGCAGGAAAGATTCTCTTAGCTACATCCTGATATTCTTTATAAAGCTGAAAGTTTAAAATATTAAAAGTTTTGGTGTGGTCTTGCTCTCCTTAACATGTTCACATGATGCCATTGTGGAACATTTTAAACTTAGAGCTTTTTAAAGAATACCAGAATGTAGCAAATTATTTAACCTGTCCTACTAACTCATAGCTGTGGGGAAAGTGATGTATTAATATGTAATGAATCTGAAGAGGTGCTATCCCTACCTCCGATGGTAATGAACCTGATTGGAATATGAACTTGTTCTGTGCCACTATTCATTACACCACCTATGCACATTATTTAAGATGAGTACATTCCCATAAAGTTCCTTTAGTAGAAAGAAAATGCAAGTAGCACAAATTAGGATAAAATTTAGAGTTAGTTGTTCAGGATGAATATTCTGTGAGCTGAGTTTGAATTCCAATTTGATTATTGCAAAATACATTTGGGAAAGATATGAATCCTCCCTTCCCTGGCTATGGGTTAAATAGCAGGGAAGACTGGGCCCTCTATTTATTGTTGGCAACCATTGTAAATTCAAAACTGTATATAGCCCTAGCAAATGGAAAAATTATGGATTTCACAATTAACTGTGTCATGGTGTTGTGGACTCTGTGTGCAGGTAGGTATTGACTTAGTAGTTATATAGCATTATTAGAGACTTTTACTCAGCAATATAAAGAATTTGTAGGTTTTTAAAAGTTCTAAATAGATTCTATAAATAAATCATGCAGCCTACATGCTTCAAATTTGGGTTCATTAGGTTCATGACAGAAATTGATATAGTTTTTTTTTTTTTTTTTTTTTTTTTAAATTATTTCTGTTTATAGTTACTGCATTGTTGTTATTTACTAAGCTAAGCTTAGACTAACACAAGGTCAAAATAGTAGAGCAACTTGTAAGTATTCAACTTTTTACAGTGTTGAATAACCTAACAAAATTAGTTTGCTAATTACTACTCTATACCAGTAGTTTTTTTTTTTTTACTTTTTTTTTTATAAAGGAAAGTGAACTTAGGCGGTGAGAACTTAAATGTTTTAAATCAAAAGTACTTCAACTAATACAACTAATTTCTCACTTTCAGGTTCATGTTTCTTATCATCGACACTTGCAGGATTTTTTAAAAGAAAGGCAGCTTAAAGCTAATCTGTAAAATAATTGACTCATGAAAGGTGTGAAACAATCTGCAGGTTTGTATTCTTTGAAATCTCTTACAATGTGGAGATGAAATCTGAATGTAATTATACAATCATTTGAATGAAAAACCTTTGTAAATTAATTACTTTTGTTAATTTTATCCCCAAATCAAGATTGATCAGCAGTATGCTATATTTTATGATCTTTGAGGGCCAGAATACAATTTACTGCATTGTTGTTAATGCTCTATGGTGGATGATAGAGCGTCTTAAGCACAATGATGCTTGAAAAACACCATGCAAAAATACTGGGCCACCAGTGAAAATTTCACCTTCCAGCACTTTTCTTAAGTTAAAATATAATGCTGCGACACATCCTGGTCCTTGCGCTAATGACTAAGCTGTCCCGTCCTTGGTCACTGGTGTGTCTGTGATAGAATCCTGCGGCTAGCTGTGGAGGTATTCACTTCAATCCAAGCCTCTCCCTGTCCCACATTGTGTTAGTTTTGATCACAAGGCAGGCAAGGACCAAATTGTCACCAGATATCACTGGATTGGTGTCGTTCAGGTGGGTGGATGTTATAAGGCAAAAAAAAGGAAGTTGTGTAGATCAACAAAGTTTACATAACTGAAGTTTATACAGGAACACTTTTTCGTATAACAGTCTACAAGCATGCAGGCTAACGGCCATTCCCTCTTAGTCTAATTTTATGACACCTTTTTCTTCATTTTTAAGTTGGTGTCGAGTTTTCAAGCTTTAAGTCAGAGACTTCTTCAGGCAGCAAATTACGGAATTCTGATGAAGCACTTGTCTCCCTCTCTCTCTCTCTCTCTCTGTTGTTATATAGAGACTTTCAATTCTTCCACTTTGCAATTTTATTAGGGCACTCTGCTCAATTTATCTAATAGTCTGGAACAAGGGAGTTCTCTGTCAGCAAGTCACATGGATATTGATGAAGCAATCATCTCTTCCTGGTGTAATAGAAGCATGTCTCTGCCTCAGCTGCTACTCATCTGTTCCCCTCTTTTTATTGACAGCTGACAGTGTCCTATGAAGCAATTTGCATGTCCAAATTTGGGAAATCCAAATCCAGGGTGTCAACCTGCACCACTTACTCTCTCCTTCTCTTTATTCGTACTTTGTTTTCCCCCACTCTCTCTCATTCACCAGTCAGGATCCTTTGACTGGGTGGCATGACTAGCATGTGTTCATTAATTAAAATTAGGTATATTCAATACTTCATTAAAAAAGAGCATACCCTGATAAAAAGAGGCCCCAAACTTGATTAAACAATTTTTTTATTGTCTAAATGTTTGTTTTTATTTAGAGGAAAAACCAAAGTATTTTTTGAATATTATTAAAATTTTAATCCTTTCTAGCATGTCTGAAATTTTAGTTAAAAATCTTGTTTTTTTTGAGTCAGCAAAATTTACATAAAATCGATCATATCAGCCATTTTTGACAACTTTATAAACAAAAGTGAAATTCTCCATTTAAAAATCTTGTAAAATTCAATTATACTTTTTTCAAAAGTTTTTTAGGAAAATTAGAAAATTTAAAGTAGACTTAATGTAATTAGAAACAAATATTTTTAGCAGAAAAAATTTAGTTGAAAATAAGAGAAGCATGTCTAACAGTAGTGATTGGTTTTGGAGGTATGAATTGATGTTTGCATCAATGTATCAACAACTAACGTCAGGGCAATTTATTGGATGAAAGGATAGAAGTGAAAGTATTTTCAAATTTTAAGTGAAGTAGCTTATTTAACTATAAAGTAAACTTAAAAATTAAATGCTTTCAAAAGTCTAATATTTTATTGATATATTTTTTTTTCCAGTGCTTTTTAAATGAAGATATGTCCAAAGCCTGCTCTGTTTCTGTCCCTAAAATTGAATCTAAAAAAGAAAAAAATTAATAATTGTAGTATGTTTCTCACTGAAAAAGAAAAAATTAGTTATATTTCAAAATGAAAAGAAAATATTTAGTGAAATATCTAAAAAAAAAAAAAAAAAAAAAAAAAAAAATTTTAAATTTTGAAAATGCAATGATGATGGTTGGTCAGTCACAGAATTTGACACAAAATCAACGCAATTTATGAGGCTGAAACAATTCTTAAAACATGTGACATTATTTCTGAATTGTTCCTCTGTATTTTTGCTGGAAACGTTTTTAATACATTTTTTGGCATATTAAAAAATTATTATAAAAATAGAAACACTTTGCAGATTGTAATAAGCTTACAATTTTAAGATCTGTTAAAATAGATCTTTTAATATGAGCATTTCCAGAGATACACATATTCACACTTAATTTTACAATATTTAAAAACCTTTATCACATTTTGTATTTAAAATTGAAAAAAAAGAAAACAATTACTGTAAAAATTCATTTTTCAGCATACATATATTCAAGTTTTCATAAAATTAAGTGTGTGTGTGTGGGGGGTAACAGGTGTAAAAAAAAAAAAACATTTCTAAAATAATTTTATTCATTTTTGAATAAGTTCTGAAAGTTTCATTAAGATCTGACATTTATTTAATTTCCAAATTAATAATTTTCAACTGAAAAAAGCACTGTAAAAGCTAATGCTAAATATTATGTGATTACTGACTTAAAAAAAAAAAAACAAGATTTTCAACCAAAATTTCAACATGCTAGAAAGGAATAAAAAATTAAAAAATACTTTGGTCTTTTCTCTTATTAATAACAAACTTTTTCATAAAACTTTTTTTTATTAAGTTTGGGGCCTTTTTTCATCATGCTATACTGTTTTTTCAGTGAATTATTGAATATACCTAATTAAAATTCACCTGCCCCAACTTCACATCATTGGAAATGTCTTCTGTCATAAATAGTTTTTGATATTTTCCATTTGGGATAAATATAATTCTTACCTTGTCTTTGTGTGTGTGTGTGTGTGTGGAATGCTTGACCAAACTCTTATCTTACCAATTGACTGGAATTCTTTGTCATTTGAATTCTGAATTGTATCCAATGAGATCTTATTTCTTTAGCGATATGCACACCCTCCACCCCTATCAACAAGTGACATAGAATCATTTCCTTACTCTCTTCTTCTCCACTTATAGCCATAAAATTATTATCTGCAACTAGCTTGGTAGTCTCAGCCAAGAAATGACCTCAGTCCTGGTCAATTCTCGTATGTTACTGCACTCCCCACACATCATCCCTTGGGTCTCACTTTAAACAGATGCCCAAGTGGATTTCAGTGCTATCTTCTAACAAGGCCCTTTATTCACAAAATGAGAAAAAAAAGTAAAAGTATATTTTTTTTTGTTTTCGGTGTGTCATTCAATCTATGACCCTCTTCACTTTTGTGTTCACTTTTGTGTTCACTTTTGATTTAATTTAAGCCTTTTTTTTTCTCTTCAAATTATTAGCATTTTTACAATGTCGCAGAAAAGGACTTTTTTTTTTTTTGCAAAAATTGATCTTTATTATTACAGAAGCTACAAAAGCTCAAAGAATAGAATTAATGATTGTTTTTTTTTTTTTTTTTTTTTTGATAATGATGGGATTTCTTTTGGTGCTATATTCCTGTTCAAGTTGTTTTTCATAATACTCTGGATACTATATCCACTGAAACCTAATTGTTAAGACTGCATATGCTCATTAAATCATCTTCCCCTTCAAAGTCACAAACTTAATCTTTTTTTCAGCAGAAATTTTAACCATAATTTTAGTGATAAACAAAACAAAAAACACGCTGATGTTCAAATACAATAATTAGCAAAAAATCTTACACTCCTATTAATAAGATAGAACAATTTCTACTTAGACAGAATATTATTATGTCAGACCTTTCATTGGCCTAATACTTTTGCATGGCCTTTTTTTTCAGCTTCAAGCTGTTTAAAGTGGTGTATCTTCAGTTACATGGCACCTACAAAAATGCAATAGATTTTTTTCAAATTCTTCAAGTCCAAACACTCTACTTATAAAAGCGTATTGTTAAACAATTTTAACTTAATAAAATAAAGGTGTATAATCATTTTATGTACTGGTCCAAAACTTTTGCATGCCCATGTATATGTAAAAGTTCTTTTTTTTGTATGTAATTATTTGTAATAAAATTTAATTTTGTTTGTTTTATAGCTTAGTTTTATCAGATCTCACATATAAATCATGAGTGATTTTGTAAGAAATAATATTAAGACTGAAAATGTTGGGGTATATAAACATTTTTATTAATAAAGCAAAAAGGATTTAAAACTGCCAATGTATTTTGAAAATATTTTATTTCTAATAAAGCATAAATGTCATTCAAAAAGAAACGAAAATAATTCAGAGTAAATCTTCCCAATCTGGAAAATAAACAACATGAATGCTAAATAACAATCTTGTTTTCTGGATTAATATCAATCTCCTTTTATTTCATAAAACCCTTTACATGGATTTTAGATTCCGAATAAATATCAACTATGAGAAAAGTTACAATATTCTAACGTTTAATAAAGACTTTCTGCAGAATATATTTCAATTAAAGATAAAAATATGAAGCCATCAGATTTGATAATATTAAAAAAGGGAAGAAAATTAATGTTTTAATCTGTGGATTAAAAAAAATACTCTAGTTAAGATGTCAAACTAAATTTGATTGTACTACTATTCATATAAAAAACAACAAAAAAAACAGTTAAAAATATTTATCATTATAGTCATAAAATGGAATGGTTGAAGTCATTATTTTTTGTTAATATTTGGAATGAGGAATATTATAAAGGATTAAATTTTATAAAGATGATTAAAATCTATTTTAAACTGAGGAAAGCAATCATTACTAACCAGGTTTTTGTTATGACTTTCCCCTAAGCCTTTCTGTTTGAATCTGTTGACATTTTTTTCTAAGATTTCTCAAATTCTGTATTACTTTAAAAATAAAATATTTGCCCACCAGTAAAGATTAACAAATTGCTACCATCTCTTATACATGAGTCTATATTGAATTGAGAAAGAAATTAATGCATTAAAATTGATCTGAGTAAAAATATTTTCATTATAATTTTTAAAATATTCAATTTTAATTACAAGATATTTTATTTAATTATTTTAATCCTAAACTTATTTTCCTTTTTCCTGTCAGCTTTATGAATGCAAAAACTTTGTATTTACAATGAAAATTTAGAGAAATAAAAATTGACTTGTAATATTAGTGTGCAGTAATCAGGACTACCTCAGCATTATTCATAGATTTCAAAAGTCTCTTAATCTTTTATGACCTAAATAATGTTTTTATTTTAATTGATTATATATATATATATATATATATATATATATATATATATATATATATATAAACTTATGTAAATTATATTAAATTTACATAATTAGTAGGTTTTATTTTAATAAAGCTAAATGATTGTGTAAATAATTGTGTACATCTATGTTTTGTCTTGACTATCAAATGATTAAAATATGAATTGAAATGAGTAATAACACATAATGAATGCTCCAAAAGTAATTCCTCCTATTTATATCTATGGAAACTAGAGTAAAGACAAAGGACAGTTGTTCCCTGTAGACAATAACTTGGTTGAATAGAGGCAAGTGTTATTGTGCTCCTTGTACTTCAGCTACAAAATAATATTTTTCTCCATTTTCAACATCATTGGCTATTTATTTTTGAGATGATTTTCATTTCATAGTTTGACAACTGTGCAGGTCTGCTTAAAATATGGCTTCATACATTGTTGCCACTGCTGGGATGCATTATCTACTGCTTAACTGTGCTCATATCAATTGTTTTGGCTCTTTAAATGTTGAACTTGGAAAAATTCCAGGATACAAATCTGCTTCATCTACTCTTTCATGTCAGATGCCAGACTGCTCTCAATAGCAATAAAAAAAATAATTTTGGGTTATTGATAGAAAGAGTCTCACCATTGCTCCAATGTCCACTATTGGCCAGCATAGTAAAATAGAAGGTATTACTTGAGGAGCAAATCTTATACCAAATATTATTCTTGATAAATATTAATCTTGAAATAATAGAACTAGTTCTTGCATATGTTTCATAAAACTGAGAGGTAATAAAATATTTATATGTATACATTTTCAGTAGTGCAGTGTTTACTCAAACTTTCTTTTTTTAATTCAGGGTGCACTTGTAGAATAACTAAAACTTTGGGATGCACTTTAAATTTTAATAAGGAAAAAAATTTGTCAATAGGAAAATAAAGAAATCTGAAGAAATTTGAAAGTAGGAAAAATAATAAAGTATCCTGAAATAAGACATTGTATATTTAAGTATACCTATTCTTGCTTTTCTTTGATAATTTTTTGAATGTTAGGCCTTCAGGAAAAGAAAATGATTCTGTTTCTTAAAGATTAATGAATTTAGCATCAAGTTTAAAATATCAAGAACTTAGACATGGAAGCCATGTGCTTGGTGTCCCTAGCTTTTTAAAAATAAAGATTGTGTTTTGTTTTTTTTAAATATAAAAATAATTAATAAATTACTCTTCTGTTAACTTGGGATGCATCTGCCTACCTTTTTAGGGTGCATTAGTGCACTTGGACGCACAGATTGAAAAATGCTACTTTAGTGAATCATGTTTTAAGAATAACTGATTAGAATAATTACTAAAGTTGATTTTCTAAATTCTCTTTGGAGCTTGAATTTCATCAGGACAAATTTTATATTTTGACAAAGAAACAAAAACAGATGACACCTGAGTAAGACCAAATTATACATCATAGGAAATGTTCTGATACAAAAAAGGATGAGGATACTATTACAAATAATCTGTAGAATACTGACAATAAATCATTAAAAATTTCAGACAATGTGGTATGCCTTTCCCTGAATGTAGTAGGAACAAATAAATGTAAGGACAGTTTGTTTTCTTTTATAAATTTTGTATACCATTAGTTCCTACAAGAAGCATAGTGTTTTGAACATTATACCTACATTGATACAAGTAACTTTGTTATATATAAAATAGCAAGGTTTTCATCAAAGTCATTTAGCAGAAAAAGAAGTCAAACACTGGAATTAAATTGCAAGATTGATTGGATCTGGAGATTTGCTATACTGGCTGGAACATTTCTTTCTGGTTCCGACTGGAGTAGCTTGTCTATTAGCAGGTTGGATGATGTAACTGTAATAAAAGTGGAGGAATATTTAAGCAAAACAAGAATCAATAGAATAAAACATCTTAAAATGGTTAATTTTCTTTCTCTCTCTCTCACACACACACACACACACACACACACACACACACACATATATATGTGTGTGTGTATATGTGAGAGAGAGTGAGTATTGTTGGTTTTTAACTTTAATATATACTTGAATGTCTGTTGCTGATATTGTGTTTATGGGGAGTTGTTTCTTTGGAAGGTGTCCATTTTGCTAGCCTTTCAAAAATAAAAGAAAACCCAAAAGCTGTAACCATACATTGAGGGAGAAGTGGTCATATTTGCCTTTATGAAAAGAAGCCAAAATAATAGAGAATTCAATCAGCAGACCAATTACTGGCATTCAAATCTTGTAGGGAACAGTTAATCAGAAAGGAACAAGTGATGAACATAGGGTTCCATAGGCATGGTTTACAGATGTGAGTAGACATGCCAAGTTCAATGGGAGATCATGAAGCAAATGAAGAGTTTGGGTGGAGATAATCCCAAGAACATAAAGATGCAGAGAACTCAAGTGTGATGTGCATGCTTTGCATTGGAACAAAGTTTGATAACAATACAGCACTGAAGGAATGCCAAAGAGGAAAGGATTGAAATGTAAAAGAGTAGAAATTGGTTCAAACAAACCATATACAATGATTAGAACATCTTGTCTTATAAAATTCAGATAAAAACTGATGTTATTTTTGTTTTAAAAATGTTTTCTCATTTTCATTACTATCCAGATTATTTTTTATTTTGAAAGAAGTCAGTATAAAAAAAAAAAATAAACAAAAATAAAGTATACTTACATAAGGTCTCCATGCTTGAGACGTCGTTTAGGGGAAGGATTTAGGATCACATATGATCTTATACTTTTATCTTTGCTGTATCGATCTGAATATGTAAGTGCAAATTTTTAATAAGGCATCATTTGGAGTTGAAGTAAAAATACAAATGTAAATTAACCAGAAAGATTATATGAGAATATTTTAATAGAAATTGATGAACCTCAAAGAACTAGTCTTTGAAAGCTGTTCTTTCTGTATGCTGGCTAGATTGCCACTTCACCAACTTTTAACTTGGTTGATATTTTCTGTTTGGCTTCAAAATGATTTCAGCAGCCCAATTCTCACTTTCCAGTTTTGACTGAGTTCAGAGGCATTTACACAGTACTGTGGGTGATGAATTGTCTTCCATCCTTCAAGCCCTCTCCCACATGCAGTATGCTCCTAGGCCTCTTGTTGCTCTACCACTATTTTCATGGCAGATGTTTGGATGAATTACATTCCTTGGTTTCATCAGTTCAGACCTTCATATCTAGAACCCACCTTGCCATGTACACTGTTAACACACTCTTATTCTCTTCATATTCCATTGAGAAATAGTAAATTCCATGCAGAGAGCTCCTTGCCTATAACTGTTGCAATATAGATAGATTGGACTCCCCCAAGGGGATGTTTTCCTGATCACTACAATCTTGAATTTTTCAAGTCGAGAGTAAACTAATCTATCCTACATATCATCATAATATGCATCCCTTGCTCTCTCTCCCTACAACTCCCTTATTCAATAATCCTCTATCTTGAGTGGCACTTATATATATTTTTGACTAACATTCTTGAAATTATTTTCTGTTTCATAATCAAGAATATGTTTAAAAAAAGAATAAATTCATCCCAACTAAGGCAATAAAGCCACTAAGATACAGGGGGTTAGTAAGTGTGAAAGAATATAAGAAAAGGAAAAACATTATTAAGGAGTGAGAACAATAAAAACAGGAATTAAGAAAGAAGATAATGATTGACATTGCATTTAAATCTTTGAAGATCAAATTGACGAGAAAGCAAGAAGCCAGAAGAAAGTTCAATGAATGAGAAGTGTGAGAAAAGAAGCTCTTATGGTTTACAACTATAAAATGATGAGACCTTGCTCCCAATCTAGTACTGTGCCTAAATTCATAAAGTCTAGGCACCATAAAGGAAAGTTCATTAGTATGATTACCATGAAAGTAGGTACCTCCAAAAATTTTCTTAAAAAAAAAAACAAAAAAACACATTGTTTTGAAAATTCTTACAAAAATCAAACAATTGTCAAATTTTATTGAAATTTTCAGAACTTATACACAAATGAATGAAATTATTTGTGAAATACTATTTTTAGAAAATCTTGGTAAAAATATATTTTACATCTGTTAATCTCCACTTATTTAATTTTATGAAATTTAATAAAATTAAAATTTCAGGATCTTTGTCTTTATATTAGTTAAAAGCAGGGCTCCTTGGCGAATTTAAATCATTGAATTGTTTTTGTCAAACAGAAACACCATTTACTGAAAATATGCTTTGAATTGTAAAATAAAAAATGCAATAAAACTGATATTATTTAATTAGAAAAGCTTTTAATTGATTTTATAAATAAGATATATTAAGGACACTTGTTTTAAGAAAAATTTTTTTCAATGAATGACGAATTTTGACAAGAATTGTCTTCATTTTTTTTTTTTTTTTTTAAATTTTAGTTAGAAAGATTTATTAAGTTTTAAATTTTTTAAATTCTGTATTAATTTCAGCGGTTTTGATGATATTAGTAAGTGAAAACTATATTTACTAATCATAAATGGAAAAGGTTAATACAAATCATCAAACACCATTATTTTAAAAATAATTTTGAATTTTTTTATTAGTGTATAAACATGTCGTTTTTTGTATGTACTGGCGACCATACACAACATTATCAGAAAATATGAATGATGTCAATAGTATATTTAAAGCTAAAATTTCTAAAATTCAATATAACATTAGATTATGGAGAATATTGTCCTAAATTTTTAAGATTACTGAGTACTTAAAAATTAAATAAAAACTGTATTCACATCATTTTCTTCAGTTACGTTTTACAAATAAAGTCTCTGTAGAACAACATTAGATCTGTCATCAGCTTGTCAAACACATAAACATGGTTACTGTCAGTTACAAACATAGCTACTGGTTAAAAAATGCATTTCTGCAATATTTAAACTTAAAGTAAATAACATTTGTTCCAAATCAGATTAATTATACTTCAAATCAACTAATATTCCTCAAATAAAGTTTCAGAAAAGTATATTTTATTTTTGGAAGATTTTTTTAATAAAGAGAATTGCATTGTGATGAAAGACAAGTAAAAAAAATTTACTAATCAGATATTTTAGCAAAAAAAAAAAAATCCTTTCCAGTTTTTGAAATACAGCAAAGTAATCTGCTTATTGGAAATATTAAATTTAATCTATTAGATTGAAATTAAAACTAAAATAAGTGTGACACTATTTAGCTATGCTAATTGATTAACTAATTAACCATTAAAATTAAACAAGAAAATACTGAGAACAGAAAAGAAGATACCCTGAGATTTTATTTTTACTTTAAAAAAAAAAGAAGTTACTTTTCTCAAAAACCCAAGAATTGGCATAAACATTGGACTCACAAAAAGGCCATATGCAAGCTTTTGACAATTGAATAATGATGCTTGTAAAAGTACTGGTTAAAGAAAACCTGAGAACAAGATATTCGAAATTGCAAGGTTTTAGAAGTCGACCAGGCAATGAGGCCATATGTTGATTATAAAAATTTTGGCATGAGAAAATATTCCAAAATATTTGCCAATACAGGGTGGAGAGAATTACCATTATTTATTTTTCTCAAAGAGGCCAAGGGTTCATGTAGATGTTAAACTCCATGAAGGGGACAGAATGGCGGGCTTTGACGATTGATGACGTTGTAAAAGTAGTGGTTGAGAAAAACACAGAATAACCAAGCATCGAGGATATGGTTTTAAGTGGTTATCTATTGATTATCGAATTTTGGCATGAGAAAATATCTCGAAAGAATTGCTGATTTGAAGATAAAGAGATTTTTTTTTTCCAAGAAGCCAAGGGTTCCAACAGACCTTGACAATTGATTGATGTTGTATGTAAAAGCACGGGTGAGTGTCAAAGATATCAGAGATTTTAAGAGACAGAGCCATGTGTCATTTGTAAGAATTTTAACCAATGAAAATGAGAATTTTGTAAACAAAAATTCTAGTTTATAATTTAAATGAGGCCAGCTTAGCCACACCCGCACAGCTGGGATGCCATTCTTTAAGTGGTAGCAATGGTGATAGGCGGAGGTAATTTGATGAGAAAAACGGGGAAATTATTAACACCCACTGAAAGGAATTGGTATGAGGTACCAATGTGAGAAGGAGAGTTTGGGAGGATAGCTATCCTGCAACCTCTCCTCACACCCGAAGGGATCCCTCCAAAAATGGAAAGTAATTAATTTTCCCAAAATGGGAATTAATCAATTTTCCTAGCCAGACAACAAAGAGGTCCTATGTCAGAAATTGGGATTTACTGAAAACCCCAGGCTGCGTCTAACCCTGCACCGGTTTTTGGTCAATGTCCATATAAGCAAGCGCCCTCAGGCAGTTCGCCAGTTAGTTGAGAAGTTTCAGTCCAACAGTTCGAGTAGCAGGAACCAGAGTGTTGCCTTGCTGAATCTGACAGAGATTCCATGACCTCCAACTTTGCCTTTCCTACCAATAGCAAGTTTTGCGCCACGACTTGGAGTTGATCATGGGCCAACGGCACAGTATCATATATTGGTGCTGTGACCATCATTCAATCCTGACTGACCCCTGCCACAGAAGTTGCAGAGAATTTCGCCCACTTCAACACACAGCATCTCAAATAGACAAAATAGAGTGAGAACCAAAGGACTTTGGTTATTCATAAGTATACAGTTCAGACACACTAGATCAACACCCTTAAAACAGAGAGGAACAACCTGAGAATCGACTGACAGGTGAGACACTTTTTTCGGTTAATCTCCCAATTTTTTTTGGATTGTTGCTGCTCTTGATTGTGTTTTTTGAATTGTTTAAATGTGTCTGACCACGATTCTGATGGGTAGACATGGAGAAAGAAGGGGTTGAACAACGGTTGCCGGTGGACCTGAAGAAATTGTTAGGCAGACCTAGGATTTCGGCCTTTGATGGGAATTCCAGAGATCTTAGAGATTGGTTGGCAACTCTAGATAAGAGCTGCATAGTTTATGGACTCATGGATTTGGCATATGATGCCACAAGATGGAAGGCCTCAGAGTTTGTGAATGGGCTTTTAGCTAGATGGCCCAGCTTAAGGATGAAAACCCCTGGAGAGCTAGGAATGAGCAGAGAAGCTGGCTGTGTTGCCTTTCCCAGAAGAAGTAAGAGACAACATGGTGATGCAGGCCCAGTTGGCAGATTTGTATGTATTTGCCACAATGTAATCAAGGAGGGACCGCTAAGGTTGTCGGTGGCAGTGGTGCTGACTAAAGAAAGCCAGGGAGTTTGGGAGAAAGTAAGGGGTAGGAAGGCACAAGAACAATGTCGGGAGGTAGGAAGAAAGGGGGAAGGAAAGAGAACCCCCACGTGGAGTCGAAGGGTTAAGCAGGAAGTAGAAGAGCCTGAAGTATGGGAAGAGGATCCAAAAAAAAGGCTTGGTCAACAAGGCATGTGTTTTTTAAGCCCAAGCTCAGGTCGAATCAGTCTGCTGGACATGTGGGTACAAGAACCACAGAGCAGTGGACTATCTGATGAAGTGGGGATTGCCCCCAGATTTTAATCTGGACAAATGTACTAGGTGCGGGAAGAAAGGACACCTGGTTAAGTGGTGTGGGATAAAGAAGTGTGCCCCACCAATATTATTAAAGAAGGCTGCCCCTGAAAGACAAGGACTAGGAAAAAGCCAGCAATCCACCCCAGAAGTAAGAGGGAGGGTGGCCCAGTTAAAAAGAAGAGGTGTAAAATATGGGACATGTGGCAGGAGAGCCACTTAGGTAGATGGCAGGTCCCCCCAGAAGTAAGAGGGTGGGTGGCCCATGTGGAAGGAAATG